CACTGTGATTTTCTCCTCAACCATGAATTATTTAGGAGTATATTTAATTCCAACTTTCTTGCTGACTTAAAAAAAAAACAAAAAACGTTTAGGGCCTCCCTGGTGGTGCAAGGGGTTAAGACACAACTTTTGAAGCTGTCCGCAGCCTTTGCAGCACAAGTTCAATCCCCCGGCCGGCCAAGGGGCTACCCACCTGGTGCAGCAGACCTCTCCTGACTCGCCCGCTGCTCCCCTCAGCAGTGTACTTCAATCTGCCAGTTCTGTTCTCCACTCTGTCTCTGGTGAATCCTCTAATTCCCCCCCCACACACCTCTGGCCTATACCCCAGTTCTTGTATGCATAAATAAATCTTAAAAAAAAAAAGTTTACCTCTCCCTCATTTCCCAGTTCTCTGAGGCACTCTTTTCCAAATCCTGTTTCTTTTTCTTTTTCCCATCATCTCTAAATAATGTTTATTTTACTACAATATCTATCTATTGCCCATTACAGAAAATGAGGACTTAGCTCTCTACACCACCAACCACAGCCCCTGCCCACATACACCCTGTTTCTCTCTCTCCACCCTCCCAATAGGTACATCAGAATTTTCATCAGGTCAATATCATCTCTTTATTATGACTATGTAAACAGTATTTTCAGCTCAGCTTATGCTACACAATGAATGCTTTTCCATTCCTGCTCTTCTAGTCCCTCATGGGAACAGCAAGAAACCTGCTGTCATTTTCCTCTCAGTACCACATCATGACAGCGTCTTCTCTCCTGGCAATGTTTAAGATTGTCAGTGTCCTTCACAGTGCTTCAATTTTACTGTGTGTAGGTGTTCATTTGGCTTCAGCCTACGGGGTGGGGTGCTCAGTGTGCTTTAAACCTGGGGTCATGTAGCTTTTGCTTGTTTCTACAGTTTTAAGATATTTTGGTTTAACAGCATTGTGGTCAGAGGGTGGTTTACATGATACGGATTCTTTATTGTTTGTTGAGATTTGCCTTGTGACCTAGTTCGTAAACACGTAAGCATTTTTTTTTGGTAAGCATGTCATGTGTGCTTGGAGTAATCTATTCTAGACCACCAGAAAGTCTGTGTGTGGGGGGGGAACCCATCTGTGTGATGCTTCATAGAGACCGCAATCTTATAATGCAATGAAATTTGAAATTGAGAAATTAAAAATTGTTTGAAACAATCCTCACACATTTAAATACTTCTGTTACAGGGCAGAGAGAGGGACAGCCCAGACCCCGCAAACCTGCCTGCTCTAAAGAGGTTCTGCCATCCGGGACCACCCTGTTACACTTCTAAATAACGCAAAGATTCAGGAGATTAGTACAAACTATGTAATGTTTAGAACTGAGTATCACTGAAAGGACCACATATCAAAAATGTTTTTTAAAGGCATAACAGCTTCTATGTCTTCCTTTACTCCTTCACAATTCTAATGCATGTATTTTTAAATCTCTTTTTGAGACTGGTCTACTATCTGTAGTTCTAGGCGGGGAGGAATCCTATCTGTGGCACCTGCTGGCTTTCTCATGGTACTTTTTTTCCTTCAAGTGTTTTATAAATTTGACTCAGCTTCAACTTTTTACCAAAGGAGCCTGGGAAGTGGAGGTGGCCCCTTTGGGTGGGTGGTGTGAATTTGGAGCACACTGCTCTGCATGGCGCAGCCTGTCGCTCCAACTTCTCTTAGGGGATTCTTTGGGTCCCACAGACAGGCCAGCTCCCCACAGTAGCCCCAGGCAGCTGGGGTTTTACTAGTCCTCCTTTCAGGAGCATGACAGCATTTCACAGTGCCTGGCTTACTGCAGGGAACAATCTCAGCTTCAGCTCCTGCTCACCACTGTGGCTTTTGAGTTTCCTATTCATATCTGGCACTGTGTGTATCCCTTCCCCGAAATTTAGTACTACACATAAGAGTGCGCTGGTGACTTCTACATGCTTGCAGTGGAAGGCAGGCCTCTCACCACAGCTCAATCAGCCCTATTGCCTGAATAAGTGAGCCAGCAAAATAGACTCCAGTCTCCTCTTTACATAAAAAAGAGGTAAAATTCTGAAGGAAAGGTGACAAGATAATGCTCAAGAAAATGTCAGCAGGATATACCCTTAATTGGCTTCTCTTTTTTGAGCTTTTGACTATTCTGAGCGGGGCAATTTCTCTACCTCTTAGAAAGAACTCTCATTCAGAGAACAGCCAATAAATATGCAGTCTCAATAAATATATAACCCTCATATCATTTAAAAAGCAAGAAATTGTAGGCCTCCCTGGTGGCCCAGGGGTTAAGTCTCAACACAGTGAAGCTGTCCACAGCCACTGCAGCACGAGTTTGATCCCTGGCAAGGGAGCTACCCACATGGCACAGCAGACCTCTCCTGTCTTGCCAGCTGCTCCCCTCAGCAGTGTATTTCAGTAGATCTGCCTGTTCTGCTCCCCACTGTCTCTGGTGAATCCTATCACCCCGCCCCCCACACCTCTGGCCTGCACCCCAGCTCTTGTATGCATAAATAAATAAATCTTAAAAAAAACCATAAGAAATTGTGTTTCACCTATCAGTACATTATATAAAGACAAGAAAGGCGTGCTTAGTATGTAATTCATCATGGTTAGCTGACAATTAAAAATGCATCCCTTTAATTTTTTGTAATAAATACTCACATTCTCCAAAGGGTAGGAAATGACACTGCCTGGGGGTAAAGCAAGTTTGTCCACTCCCTTCACCATCACCAGAACTGTAGCCCGAGGACGATGAAACAGATTCCCCACAGCAAGTCCTGGCCAAGAAAGGTCCTAAACATTGAAAAGCACAAAAGCAGCTTAAATATGCACTTGGGAAATCATTCTTCCATGACATCCGGGAAATGGAGTTAAAGGATTCTGGATTGACAGTGGTAATGAAAATTCACAGGAAAAGCAAATATTTTATTGAAGGCAGGAGTTACAATCTCCTAATCAAGGATACTGACTTCTACCTTCTTCATTTTCTAAAATGTACACATATTTGAAACAATAAAACCTAGTAGTGAGTCATCTTAATTCTTTTGTGGAAAAAAAGGTGGCAATAAAACATGGGTACCTTTCAAATTCCAGATTATAAAATTATTCTCTTCATATAACCATGGCCATTTTCATTCCCCACATTATTTTTTGCCCTTATTATAGCATCAATTTTATCTTCAAAGTGATGTAGCAAGACTGTTGATTCAAACATTCCTTAGACTCTTCAAAAATAAAACAAAATTTCTGCTAGAAGTAATTCACATTAGTTCACTAGCAACTCTTTCTAAGTTATTTGACAGCTGTTTGTAGTCAAATTTTAGTTTGTAATTTACATTCTTAAATGCAAATGGTCATGACAAAATTTCTGCTAGAAGTAATTCACATTAGTTCACTAGCAACTCTTTCTAAGTTATTTGACAGCTGTTTGTAGTCAAATTTTAGTTTGTAAATTACATTCTTAAATGCAAATGGTCATGCAAGGAGATCTGGGCTCCTTCCCTCCCACCCCATGCCTCCTCTCTCCCCAGGCCCAGCAGGAGGCAGTTCCCAAGCACTGCTTCTGGTTTCAGGGGCATTGAGGACCTAGGAAGAAAGGACCTTTGAGTGACAGATGGTATCTAGAGACCACATCAAAAGCAACAAACGTATAAAGTGGGAGATGATGAACAGAACAAACTGCATCTCCTTTCTTCTGGCCCTTAGCTTCAGATCACACATACTGAATGGATCTAGGCCCCTTTGCTAAAATCAGGTAAGCAGCCAATTACAACAGGTTAGGGCTTAATTCTAGGAAACTGAGATCCTAGGCTGTCCCACAGTTACTGACCAAACTATGGTCCTAAACTCAGGCAAGATGCACATACATTTTGTCATTCATAACCAACTGCAGTGGACTGAACGTTTGCATATGCTGAAACCCTAACCCCTAATGTGATGGTATTTGGAGGTGGGACCTAAGGGAGGTGATAAGGTCATCAGGGTGGAGGTGTCATGAAAGGGATTAGTGCCCTTATAAAAGGGACCAAGAGAACTCTGTCCCCATGCCATGTGAGGATACAAGAAATCGGCAGTTTGCAACCTCGAGGGTGCTCAACAGAACCTAACCATGCTGGTTTCCAGACCTTGGACTTCCAGCCCCCAGAACTGTGATAAACAAATTTCTATTGCTTATAAGCCACTTGGTCTATGGTACTTTGTCATAGTAGCCTAAACTAAGATATAAATCTTTATCATGTATACTGAAAAAAATTTTATATCCCAGTAATAGGACAGATGCATTCTCTTCTACATAAGAACTTCACTACTATGAATAAACTATTACATAATTAGTGCTCTATAATGATTTGTTTTCATAAGCTGCATTGGAAACACTTACCTAAAATTTTCCTAACTACAAACAAGTTTTACTTTTGCAAGGGGTACTAAATATACTTTGCTTTCTTGGGTCATTAATAGAAATAAAAAAATTTACAGAAGCAGATCCAAATGAAAACTAAAATACACATACTTCTTTCACAGAGAAGCCCATGGACAATGCAGCTACATCTGGGATTCGTTCTCCAGGTATAGGCCAATTTCCATCTCGGAAAACAACAGACCCAGGTGATCTTAATATACTAAATTCGTTTCCCGAAACACCTGAGAAGAAAACATAGGAAATGAGTGATCAGCATCATAAATCTTCTGCATCCACACTGAAAACAGAATGCATGTTTCTCCCTTCTCCACCAATATAGCATACTAAAACATGATTGGACAAAATGCTAAATCCTTAACAATAAATTCTTCTTCAAAGATCATCCCCAAAATTTAAGTTCATAAATTCTGCTGTAACAAAGGTCTAAGAATGAAAGAGGAATCTCTTAAGGCCTTGATCTAGAGGCCTTCTTACAGGTGACCCTTAAATAGGGGCATGTGGCAAATTTGGCAAGGACTAGAAATCAACTGCATTTTCCTCAGAATTTACAACACAAAGATGCTGGCACAGACTAAAAAGGGAGAAAAGGAACTTGAGTGCTTGCTTCGGCAACATATACACTAAAATGGGAACGAGTTTTAATAGACTGGAGTGGTCCCTGCACAAGGATGACATGCACATTTATGAAATGTTCCATATTTTTTCCTCTCCAAGTTCTATGTTGGCCATGACCTATGAAGTCACTCAGTGGAAAGGCGCATAATGATAACTGAAATATTTTGGAGCACAAATAAACTCATTATACTATGATTAAAAAAAAGAAACTTGAAATCTCTAAATTCTTTCTACCATCAACCCTGTCATAATTCCTAGAATTTCACTCTAAAGCTTTGGCAGGTTTGTGTATCTTAGGATAGATCATATCTTTCCTTATGTCCCACAGGCAACCCTAGTGATGGCAGGACTGTCAAATGGGGTGGGCATGGGAGGGAGGTGCACTTGTTACCAGTCAAATAGAAAACACTTTGGGCTTTAGAAACAATGTCCAGTAAATAGTGCTTCCATTGAATTTATCAAGAGGTGAGGAAAGGTATTCTGACATTCTTTTAAGTGTTCTAAACACAATATCCGTCCCACGTAGGAGGTGGTTTCCCACACCAATGAGCAATTCTTCGAACACAGGCAGGGTGCTGGAGAAGTCGGGTGCTGGAGAAGTCGACTCAGTTCTGACACTACCCAGAGCAGCAACAGATTCCACAGGGTAAGGGCGCACTCGGTTCTAGGAGACTCCCCTGACCCTCCTCCGACTCCAGCAAGTCCAGGTTATAACCTGTGCTTCCTACTGACTGGCTAGAGATTGGCGGTTTCCATGACTCCCTCCTTCTGTGGGTTTAATTAATTTGCTAGAGCAGTGCACAGACCTCAGAAATTGTCTAACTTACTAGAGCACTGGTTTATCTATTAATAAGAGGCTACAACTCAGGATAGCCAGATGGAAAAGCTCAGGATAGCCAGATGGAAAAGCGGCGTAAGGCAAGGCATGGGGAAAGGGCGTGGCACTGCGGCCCTCTCCAGTCCGCCTTTCTCCCCCCACTGCCACTTGCTCACCAAGCTGAAAGTGCTCCAAAGGCCCTGCTTCTGTTTCTTGAGGAAGCTTCTTCAATTAGGCATGACTGACAAACAGGTCACTGGCCACAGGTGACTGATGCAACCTCCAGCCCCTCCAATCCCCTCCCCAGAAACCTGGGGATGAGACTTAAAAGTTCTAAACCTCTCTCCACAGTAGGTTCCTAAACAGCCAGCCCTCATCCCTCGGGGTAGTCCACAGCCACCCACTAGCACAGCCCAGCTGGGGTGGAAAGGGGCTTGTGATCACAAGACACCCACTTTACTTTTTTTTTTTTTTAAAGATTTATTTACTTATTTATACAAGCACTGGGTACAGTCAGAAGTGCGGGAGGGTGAGAGAATTCACCAGAGCCAGAGCGGAGAGCAGAGCAGGCAGAAGGACCGAAGTACACTGCTGCGGGGAGCAGCGGGCGGCAGGAGAGGTCTGCGCGCCATGTGGGACCCTCGCCCGGTGGCTGGGGATCGAACCATCGAACCGGCGCTGCAGAGGCTGCGGGCAGCTTTGCAACCCAGCGCTCAACCGCTGCGCCACCAGGGAGGCCGAACACCCGCTTTACTTTTATGGCTCTTCAGAAACTGAGAAGCAAAGATCAAATATTGCTCTAGGTATTCAGAAAATCCCAAGGGTGTGGGGAGCTGTAAACCAGGAACTGCGGATGAAGATTAAATATATATGAGAAATAAAATTGGGTGATCTGAAAGCAAATACATATACTACTTATGAACCACAGTATCACGACAGTAACAGAGACAGCTGGCCTAGGGAGATGGGGCCTGGAGTTACAAGGTGAGAGATGAGAATAAAGAGACCATTTCATAGACTGTCCAAGGCTAAGAATGAGGTATTTGGCCTCTTCCTCCATCACGTGTGCCTAGCTCTCACTAGGCCAATGGAGACTCTTGGGTTGCTATCAAAAGATCACCTCCAAGTCCAAACCAAATCTCTGTCACGCCAAGTATGGGAAAATCAGACTTTAATAAATCATCGCTGCTACTCTTTTGACCTAAGTAAAGTACCATTTACAGGATATGGGAATAAGGCTAGAAGCAACAGTAAATGTTTTGGTGTTACAGTATTGACAGTAAATAAAAGGCCTCAGGATGGTGCTGATACAACATGAAAAGTTACGAGTTTCAATTCAGTGCAGCTGCCAGAGCAGGAATTTCCCACTGTTTCAGCTGAAGGTGGAACAAAAAAAATAATTAGCAGAATGGGATGGTCCTCCATAACTGGTAACACATCTTGGTTCACTAAAGTAGTAGTTACCGCAAACGCTAAGGAAAATGGGGCAGCAAGAGACCTATACTTTCCAAATAGCACGCACATTAAAAAAAACATGTTTAGATCTGAAGACAGGCCTGTTTTGAGACATGGCCCAAGTCACTCCACCCCAGCAAAGAGACATGAAATTACTTTACATCAACTCTGTAGTTAAAATGCACTGCTGTGCCTGCACAAGTTCTTTCAGGGGCTTAGAGATTTAGAAAACCTAGAGTTACGCACTCCTACACCGAGAAAGGTTATCTTGTCCCAACTGCTGCTTAATGCAGGTATCTGGGATACCTGACAAAGTCACCCATCCTCTACCTGAGTAGGACAGTGAAGAGGGAGACCACCCTAAGTTACAAGCAAGACATTTGACAGCAATCACCTCCAATGCTCCAACACAGTCCTTTCAGAAGTTTTTCCTTGTACTGAACTGAAATCAGCTTCCCGGCTTCTTTCAACTTCCTATTTTATGACTCCAAACTCAGTCTCACCAGATAACTTCATCTCCAGCCTACAGAAAAAGAGAATTCCTCCACCTACCTGCTTCTCCTCTACCACACATTTATCAGCACAAGTTCCTGCCCTTACCTCTTCTCCCTCCACATGCGGCCCTTCTTAGAAACCATTCATTCTTCTATTACTCAAAGTTTACTCAACCACTATTCTGGAACAGACATGTGAGGCTATGTGGCTGTAGATATAAAAAGTTGTCTCCGTAGAACATAAACTCCACAAGGGCAGAGATTTGTCTATCTTGCTCACTAAATATCCCCAGTGCTAAAACACACAGGTACTCAATAAAAACTAATTGAGTGAAGTCACACCTTGCACTAACAACTTCCCCCTCTTATCTGGCACTCTTCTACTTCAGCATACAATATACTCGGAGTGCTCCTATTCTAAAATTAAAACCATAAAAAACCTCCGTTGGTCCTACCAGCCTCCACCTGCCTCTGTTTCCCTTCAAAAGAAGAATCCTGAAAGGGTGCTTCTCTGTGTCTTTATTTCACGTTTACTCCTAACCCATAGCTTCTGACACCACCAACCACTGAAACAATTCACTAAATCCAAAAGACAATTTTCAGCCTCTAACTTAACTGTCCAAGGCATCTGACACTGGCAACTCCCTCCTTGACCATCTCCTGCGTTGCCTTCTTGAAGTCCAGGCCCTGGTTTTCCTTCCAATCCTTTTGGCTGCTTCTCAGTTTCTTTCTCTTTCCATCCATCCTTTTAAGCAACAATGTCCAAACATCAGATTTCAACCTTTCAGTTCAAAATTTTAAAGTAGCTCCAGTTTATATATGTCTACTTACAGACACCTATAAGATTAATTTCATAATACATTACAAAGCACACAAATATAGAAATTTTTAAAGAGTGAGATAATTTTGTAGTATTTGCCCGACTTAAGCATAAGTAAACATCAGACAAATCCAAATTGAGGGACATTCTGCAATATATCTGGCCATCACTGCCTTTTTTTTTTTTTTAAAGATTTATTTATGCATACAAGAACTGGGGTACAGGCCAGATGTGTGGGGGGTGAGAGGATTCACCAGAGACAGAGTGGGTAACAGAACAGGCAGACTGACTGAAATACACTGCTGAGGAGAGCAGCGGGCGAGTCAGGAGAGGTCTGCTGCGCCATGTGGGTTTCTCCCTGGGGAGAAACTCCCCAGGTCGGGGATCGAACTCGTGCTGCAGAGGCTGCGGATTGCTTCATAGCGCAGTGCTTAACCCCTTGAAGGCCCTGGCCATCACTGCTTTTAAAATGAAATTTAAAATGGATATAAATGAAGTTCTAGTACATTCTGTTATTCAAGAAATCACTCAGCATACTCCACTTTGGGGATCTGAGGGCTCCATTCTTGACCCTCACTGCTTTCCTAGTGTACATCTCTTGCAAACACAAAAAACAGGTTTTTATTTCCGGCACACCCAACAGTCTGTTGAGCATCTCCTCCTAAGTCCCATGGCTCTTTCAAACTTATCTCCTACACTCTGTTCCTACCAAACTATTTGATCTTCTGCATTCACGCATACTTCTACACATGCTTTTCTGTCTAAAATGCCTTTCCTTCCCACTTCAACCTTTCACACACTTGCCTTGTGAGGCACCTACTTGAGGGAAATTTCCGTCAGCACTCCCAGTCTAAGTATCTTTCCCTTTGGAAACTCCCACCATACTGTACTGTGATCTATGAATGGTGGATGAAATCAGTAGGTAGAAAAATGGGTCCGACTTTTATCCTCTGTGGCCTCAGTGACCAAATCAAACACCTCTTCTACATGACATCCTTTTAAATTCCATGTTGTCTGTGCTTGGCTTTTCCTCTCCAGGCTAAACATCTGATTTTTCCAAATATGCCTCATGACATGGTATTCATAACCACACTTCCCATCCGCTAGTCTCCCTCTGGACTGGCAACACCATTTTAAAAGGCATTATTTTTGCCAAATAGAGAAGTCAGGGTTCTAAAAGTTGTTTTCCATTAGATCATATTTAGTCATTTGTGGAAAACAGTAATTTAACATCATCCGACAAGTTCAAGCAATGCAAAAACTGACAGGATCAGACTCCTGGTCTGTATGAACTAGATAATTCTAGTTAGGAAAGCATGCTCAAACCATATACAGAAGCAATTATTTTGCCTCAGCCCAAAAACAAACCAAAAAACGCTAAGCCTCCCTGAATCAAAAGAATATTAATCATAACATCAAAACATGGAATTTCAATACCTGTCCAGTTAAACCACAGTGTCAAAACATTTCTAAACTTCAAAAACTGAATTCCAATAATGAAA